CTAAACTCAAAGAACCACTTCAGTATGTGGATATATAAGAAATTGTTACTACTGAATTTTGCACTTCGCAATATGTCATTACAGTACCCTATAAATCAAAGTTTAGTAAAATATAATGGCTCTTAGCATTTGTTAGAATAACATCCTACATCCTACCTCCTATGAATAAATCCTATATCCTATGAATTTATTTCTATTTCTAGCCGTTTCTCAAAGTTCTTACGGAAAGAATTTCTTTCAGAGGGGAGAAGAAAAATTTAATGAAATGTATCAGAAACTCCTACTCCTCCAAAAGCATTGAGCATGTGATTAATGAGATCTGTTATACGAATCAAGAGAACGAACTCGCTTTCCTTAACCATTATGAAATGAATGAACACCGCTCACTGACATTCAGTCACCGGCGTTTGGGTCGCTTACAAGCTTTATGTCTTCTTTTATTTCTGCCTACAATAAGAGGGCTAAAAAGAGAAGATTGGACATTTCGGATAAAGAATTTTTATTTCCTAACTACATGACTAGAATGTCAGAAGGAATTCCAATATAAGCTTTTCGTTCTTTAAATACCAGCTTCAACTAGTAGTGCAGTCACTATTTATTATTATTATTATTATTATTATTTAGGTACGCAATTTGTTAGACAAGAAACGACAACTAATATATTTTTCACTGCGGTAAATATCTTTTGTAAACAATTAAATCTGTAGATTAGGCTAAAAATGTATATAACTTCTGCATTTCACCGCATAAAAGACTGATACATAAAATACTTACAGTTTTAGATATAAACTCTAAGAATTGGGATTTTCTTTTTGAAAGAAAGTGCTGCGTAAGCGCATCTACTTTTAGAATAAAACTTTCAGTTTAGACTTCGAGTCTTAAAGGTACAGAACACATTCCCCCTGTGTCGGGGTTTTTTATTTGCTTATGTTATAGCATCTGAATTCTATTCTACTTTCGAAGATATATATATATATTCCAATGACTGGATTCTAATATAATTTCTGAAGAAAGGGAAAGCATGCACAGTGAGTAACCAATTCGTGTTTATCACAACGTATAAACTACATGTATTACAGTACATAACATGTATAGTTGAAACTGATAACTGAAATAAGTGTAATATATGTATTCCCACATGCAGTTTTCCAAGTAACCGGGACATTTTAGGCTACCGCGTGATAATCTGAATGAATATTTTTATATGCTGTTAGATATTCCGGAAGACGCAAGCTTGTAAAATAGAAATGCTGTTGGATATTCCGGAAGATTTAAGCTTGTAAAACAGAAATGCTGTTAGATGTGTTTATTTGTAAATCACGTGGAAGGATGAGAATTGTAAGAGTATATGTAAGTGCATTTAAAGAGCAAAAAGGAAATTTCGTTACTGATGGATTATATGTGACAATGAATTTGAAATGCGACGTGTGAGGGTCAATGAAGTTTTCATACAGCCAAAATCTTATACAGATGGATCCTTTTACAAATTTCCAACCCACCTGCGTACTTCCCCCCCCTGTTCTCTCTAGGATGGGGCAAAACTTCCGCCCACTCTGGAGAATCGGGTATTAGCCCGTGCTGCGGACACGGCTCTCTTTTGGTCGATCCACTAGACGTCCGCCTCTGATCCGCATTGTTCCACTGTGAATGAGGAGGCGGTGAGTTCCAGTCCTGTCTACAATACAGGACATTTTGATAGGCACGGGAGAAGTCTGCCGGCAGTGACTGTCGCATGCGGGCACTTGAAAATGAAGGCACAGGCTGTAAAGAAAGCACAAAGCCAAGCACACATCCATGCTGTCAGTTAGAACACAGGCAAATAAATCTAACATTGTTGTCATGTCATTAAACACAATCAATGCGACGTTTCTTGACTATTTTAAAGCACAGAACTTTCTGTATCATATAAATACTTTAGATGAATCGTGTTTGTAGAACGAGTATTTCTGCTATCTCAAACTGCAATATTTTCATTTAAATAAAATTGAATAAATTTAGCATTTCTAATAGGAAAATGATAAATTCAATATGGAGAAAATTAATAAATGTTGTTACACATAGTGTTATCACATATTGCTAACTTAGCCTATTCTTAGTAAACCAGAAATTTTCTGTAGCTTAAGATGGAGTAAAAGTAAAAATTTTTTTCCTCATTAAAATTAGAAGTTTTCTGCAGCTTAAGACTAAACAAATTAAAATATGTAACAAAACCATTTATAATAAAAGTTTAAAAAATATTAGCCTCTAATCACATAGATGAAAATTAATTAGTTTTATTTACTTTGTTTGAATAATAATATCTGAAACCAGACATTAAGTATTAGTTTAACTGAATAAAACCTTAAAATTATTAAACTGTACTGTAATTACAACAATTTAGAAAATCTTAGAGATAATTTATAGAGTAATAATTTTATATATTATCAATCTCGGGAGTAATGTATATATAATATAAAATTTAGAAAAACACAGCGATAATTAAAAAGTAATAAATTATTATATTATCAATCTTAGGAGTATTGTATATACAAAATTTAGAAAATGACAGCGATAATTAAAAGTAATATACCGTTACGCTATTAGTCCTAGGAATAATGTTTGTATAAAATAAACTAAAATACAAAAGCTTTTTAATTTCTTATTGCATACACATAAATAAAAACTGCTAATTTGTATGACCTAATGAATTTTATAATCCTAGCGTAATTAAATATTAATTTATGTAAAAAGGCTTACAGAAAAGTTAATAAATGAAATATATTATTAAAATTAGTTATAAATAAAATATTACTCTCTTCACCCTACAATAATAACCTGTATATACAGTATAACTCTGCTTAAAAGAATTTCACTTAAACCATAAACCTACCCACTCAATAGAAACTGTGAAATAAATTATAAATGAACTGAAAAAACAGCAAAACAATCATTTTTAGTTTTTTTTAGTGATTTTTTTTTTATTTTTACATACTTTATAAATAAATGTAGATTTTATAATATAAATAAATAATCGTAGTTTAATTTTATGCTAATGTAGTAATTTCTGATATGTGTGCTTTTTAGATTACAAATGAATTATGTGAATTAAAATGAAGAATTATGTGAATTAAAGTTTGTGCTACACTAGCAAATTTTTCGGTAAGTGAACAAACTTAAAAGCATTAAATATACAACTGCACGCCAAAAATTAAATTTCAGAGAAGATTTTCGAAAGCATTTTTGCTATCTAGATGGCAGATGTAAAGTTCCCAGGTGTCACGTAATTGAATCTTGAAAATTTAACACTTTTGGGGGGGATGTGCAGGCTTTATTTTTATGTGGTTTAATTTTAAAAAAAATAATGAAAATTTTAGAGCGTATTTTATGAAAGATGTTAAATAATATTTTTCTTAAAAATAATGCAGACAAAAATTAGCAATTCAATTTTTTTAAGCCTAGCTGCTGTTTATCCAAATTTACAATCAAGCTCAGATAAACACTAGACTATAAGCTTTGTTTAACGTTCTGTAATTTTTTTTCAATTAGAAATTATGTGATAAAATCCAAATTTCAATGTTTTTTGAAAGTCACAAGAATTATTTTATAAAAGAAATATTGCTAAGATGTCCCCAGTTTTATTTAGTGTAATTCCATTTTGCCCAGTGTTTGACTTTTGTTCTATATTTTCTTTTGATTTGGTTATAACCATTATTCCAAAAACAGTACCGATTAATTATTACCTTATAATAATCAAGAATTATTAATAAATGGAAAATTGTTTCTTTTATTTTTTGTTTTAATGACTTACATTTTTCCTTTTATGATTTATATATCTGTCATAACCGAATGCAAATGTTAATCTATTTCTCAATGGTGTGTAAATAATTTTTTGTTTCCAATGTTTAACATTTGAAATGAGCAAAATTAACCAATGTTTACAACATTTATTCCGTACTTACTCTTCTGGTTCTCTTTAAACACACTTTACCGTAATTTACGAGTAACATTGATTTAATAATTTAAAGTAATACTGCGAATCAAATAAAGAAAAATCTCTAAAGCAGCAAAGAATTAAGAAAATTTTAGATATGAGAGAAATGTGAAGGTAATAGAGGGATAATATTAGTAGAAGTTTAATTGCCTTGAATGGAAATCTGAATGTGGTTTCAAAGTACATTCATGCAGTTTTACACTTTTATATTTAAAACGAGGAATGCTATCATAAGTCATATAGTTTATCATGTTTCACACATTTTATATCTCGTTCATTTTTCAACTCAACTTATTTTTTATATAACTAATTTTATATCTCATTAATAATTTAAGTTTTATTATTCAACATAACTGTATAAGCTTCATTTAAAAAAGAAAAAGAAAACTAAAATGAATATTTTGCATTTTGGTGGTATAAAGCCCTTTAGCTATGATTTAAAAAATTCTTAAAGCTATATTTCAGTTATATTTTAAAACAGCATGTAACAAAAACTCGTTTTTCAATCTACCAAATATAGTACGTCTAAATATATTTGTAATATGTACAGTTAAGTATAAAATTATAGATAATGACAATATATAAGAGATTCATTGTTTAACTCTAAACATTTTATAAATGATCCCTTAATTTTAAACAGCTTTTCTTGCGATGATTATTAATACATAGTATATATACGTAAAGCACTTTATGTGTAACATTATTCTTTTTAGGAGTATACGGACTCCAACGAAACATGAGATTATAAAAGTTTGGGGCGGATGAACGTATTAACAACAAATTTTTAAGATCCACAAAGTATTTGAAAATCCCTGTTTGTCTTAGCGGCGATAAATTACAGAACACTCGCAAGTAATATGTTAGTATAGATTTTAAGTCTTTGTTAAAGAATTATGTTTTAAAATTCGTATCAGTTAACTGAAGTGATTAGTTGGAATACGAGTATAAAACGTGCTTGCTGTGTTAATTTTCATTCCAGGCAGATATTTGCGGTATATACGGAAAAAATTAAAAAGAGAAAAATAGTTACCCCTTGTCGATGGAATGGCATGTTTTCATACATCACATTTCCTTCAGCCTCTGCATTAGGGGGACCATTTTGTTTGGGATCTCCTGAAGTTCCAGATACGTTCTGGTAAAGGCTGTCTCCCGTACCACCAAGAGGAGCTTTACCGGGACTACCAAAATCTAACGGAAGAAAATAAAAACGCACATGTAGATATATACAAAACACACATGTAGATAGATATATACAAAACAAAAAACTTTTCATGAAAATTTACTTTTACGATTAGCATTTAAACAAGCTTAAGAAGAAAGCTACACAAAAGAAGTAAATTATCTAAAATATTTTTTCATTTACTTTCAAGTACTGGATCATGAAATTTTTAAAGAAACAACAGCGTGACACAAGCTGGTTTTTTTTTTTTTTTTTTTTACTCTCTGAAGCTCTGTGATTTAACATTTATTGTAATAATAGCACTGCGCTCTAACGATGTATGAGACAGGTAACACAAGGCGTAATTTACTGTTATGTAAGATAACATGATGTCTATAAATTGAGATTATATCTGACGGCGTGCAGTGCTATTATTAAAATATTAAAGTGGCTTAAGAATTTTAATTGATAATAATCCAAGATAAAAAACTAAAATTTTCCATTCAAATGTTCTTCATTAATATAAAATCAGAAGTAATCGATTCAAGATACATGAAGCAAATAAATATACGTACATATGTGAATAATGATGATTAAAATTAATAAGATAAAAATTTAAAGATTGCGCTCCAAACAGTAATGTATAACGGAATTTAAATTTAATAATTTTTCCGAGTCTGCAGAGAATATTGAAACCCAATTCACCCAAAGAAAAAAAAAAAAAAAAAAAAAAAAAAAAAAAGATATGAAAACTGCAGTGTGTGTAACGTACAAAATAATATGTGTGTCAATAAAATTCGTGCATGCAAAATAAATTTTTTACGCTGCATGCATTATATATTTTTGATATTTCAGTTGTCATTTTTATATTTGACTTCAGTCAAATAGACTATAAAGACCAACATTAATTAATTAATTAATTAATTAATTAAAAATTAAATAAATAAAAATAAACAGTAGTATCACAAAATGTTTAAAAAGTGCATATCTTTAGAATTTCCGATACACAGTCTCGCGCGCTGGAGATAAGAAATTGTCTTTTCGGTCAATGTAGCCATTTTTTTTAAATCGTTGAATTTGTTAATCAAAAATTCAAACATTCTTTAAAATTTTCCAAAATATTAAATAGATAATAAAACAAATTCGAAGTTTGGACGTCCAAGTGCTCATGTTTGGGTGGAGGATTACGTCATTCAAAATTTGAAGATTCTAAGTACCGTCGTTTTTTCACAGTGCGAGAACATACATACATTCCTACAGATTCTTTATTATTTAATTTTTTAAATATTATACAGGTCGATACTATTTAGTGGCAACAAGTTGAAAAGTGATACGGACATTTATAGCGAAACTGCGCAAAATTCAATTTCGAAACTAATAGCCCTTTTGGGATACTGCTCCTTTAGGCTAATAAAAATAAAAGATTTAAAAAACGTTTAAAAAAATTTAAAATGAAACATTAATAAAATTAGAAACACCGATTTGTGAATTAAGAATATACGTTTCTTCAGATCCATTTTATTTAAATTATTATTGCCAACTAAATCAGAAATTACAGTTTCTTTGTATATCTCTAACTATTAATTTAACACTATTTCTTATGATAGCTAAAAAAAAATTTAACATTTGACATGTGGCAACATGAAAGAAACTAAAATTAGCTCACTTTATGCTGCACATGTACAGTTTTTTAATATTATTTTTAGAGACATCTTTGTTATCTGTTGGGGGGATATTTATCCGGTATTTGATTGTAAAAGGAAAAGGAAGACTAATGAAATGATCTTTAAAATTGGAAAGGACTCTTTTGTGATTTTTTAACTTGATTTATTTTTCAAAGTATTTTGTTAGTTCTTTGAAAAATAAAAAAGAAAAGGAAATGTAATTTAAAAGATATATCTCTTTTTTTAACAGTGGAATGTTTTTCATGATTTATCCCAAGCGTAATATTAAATTTCCAGCTTTATTAAATTTATCATATAATGTTATCTGCAAAGTGTACCTGTTGAAAGCACTATTCAATAAAGAAAAAGCAGTTCTCGAGATAGGGATATACATATTAGACTAATAACAGAATTCAAGTTTTGAAAAAATTATTTTTTATTGGTTGTCTCTCTACGTCAAGAAATAAAAATTGCACAATGCTATTACACGCTGAAGAAATTCTAGAATATTATCGTTAGAATAATAAAGTGAAAATAACTCACAAAAATTCATTGTCGTTTAAAATTTCCAAAACTGCATATTAAATTCATTTCAGAAATTAAAATAAAACTTATATTTTTAATAAATATAGAATTAAGCTAACAATCATAAAAATGTGCAAAAATGGATGTTTTTATTTCATTAATTACATTCCTTACAAGAATTCTGGCGGCTGATAAAATTACGTACAGTCAACAAAAGTTCAAAACTGAATCCTAGAAAAAATGAGAGAGGTCGAAGAAATTGCAGACAACATAAATTCGATCAAATACTCAATTACACAAGCCCATTATTAATAAAATACCATGCATTTAACTCACAAAATTATGCATTTTAATGGAATTCCCATGCAGGTAAGACTGATGATGTTAATTGGACATCATTACTGATAACATTATCCATTATCATTAGGAATCCCCAATTATTGCTAACAGCCTCAATTACTGGTGATCTCCTTATCATCGTGTATCTAAACGTGGGTAAAGTTTCTCCATTCATTACCAAAGTTTATACATTGAATATTTTGGGCGAAACATTAAACTATACTTAGAATTGTAACGAAGGACATGTATAAAACATTTTTGAAAGCTTCTTTAAATTTTAAGGATTTCCGTTCAAAATTTAATATTTGAATATTTAATACTTAATGAAAATACATCTTATGAAAAATTAAGAGAAATGTTAATTATGTGTGTTTTAATAGAAAGTATTGAACCAAAGGTACTAATTATGCCGGGAAGAATTTTGAAAATATTCAGAGACGAATACGTAAGCGTAGACTTTTGCGTCTGCGAAGCTCTGATTGTAGAGGATGATTGTGGATTCGTTGCTTGCACTCCTTCATGGCATTCGCCGTGTTTTTTGCAAGAGTTGAGTAAATTTTATAAGGTCTCAGGTAAATTAAGCAGCCATGAACGTATGGATGACAGAATGAGATGGAGAATTGTCAATAGGTTGGAAGCTAGCCAATATCTAGTGCAGATGACTACAAAGCTCGACATAACGTTCAGTTCCGTTTGCAATTTGTGAAAACAATTTCAAGGCACTGGATTCGTATCGAGAAAAACCTGGACACGGGCGACTAAGATCCCCAGCGAGGTATGAGAATCGTTATTTGGCACTCTCAATACGGTGAGACAGGACTACTACAGCTTCACAGATCTCATGGAATTTGTATGCTGCCACTGGAACCCAAGTTTCACGCACTACACTTGCCCGAATGCTTCGTGAGGTAGGGCTGAATGCCAGAAAACCTGCTGTTTGTATCTTGCGTTTTGCAGGATAAAAGAGAGCGCGGTTAGCATGGTGAAAACAACTTTGGGGTTTGGACCAGACTTGGACCCGTGGAGCACAGTATTTCTTGAAGGTAGTACAGATTCAGCCTGGACACTGATCTCGAGGTAGCTGTATCTGAAGGAGTCTGAAATATGATATCATCCGTTCTTCATCGGGGAAAAGGGTCCTTACGGTGATGGAGGTGTAATGGTTTGCGCAGGAATTATGTTGGACGGCCGCCCCCCTACCTGTGTTTGATCAAGACTGCCTAACTGCTATGAGACACAGAGAGAGGATCTTAGAGTCCTATGTTTGACTTTTCAGGGATAAGATTGGCCTTGAGTTCCTGTTAAGGCGTGCTCAACGAATATCATCCGGAAGGACATTTGCTGCATGGATTGCCGCATCGGTCATGGGTGGGAAGCTCTTGGGTGGACAATTTTATCTCGTCATCTGCCCCCGAGAATCATCCCGGAGTTGAAAACTCCCTTGCTGCAGAAGTGGGATCGACTGCCACAAGGGCTTCTCAACTGCCTCCTGTTCAGTATACCGTCATGCTGGTGACTTGCATGACTGTGAGAGTAGACCGTAACTTATATTAGATTAATTTTCAGTTGGATATCAGTTCTAAGGTGGATTTTGGACTTCGGTGCACTATGAGATTTATCAACAATCATGGGTACATAAAATGAGTTTGGAATCGTACGGCTGTTACAAATGTATATTCATACAAGATTTCATTAAAATCTGTGCACAAGTTGTCTGTAAATTCAACGTAATACGTAAATTCTCATAATTTTGCACACATGTTTACGAAAATGTAAGTATAGCTAATGAAAACAAAGAAAAAACTTCATAGCATTTCAGTAAGTTCTTGATTTTTACCTTTCATATGATAAAACTCCTGATGACCGAATTTAGCTCATTCGAAAGCTGGCTTAGCCGGAGAGATAGAGAATGGTATCATTGAAATCGTGAATTTGAAAAAAATAGTCACTGAAGTTCTTTTAATTAGCATTTTATCATTTTTAACTCCTAAGCTACAAAAACACTGTTTCTACTAAAATCTATTATTATTAATGGGTACCTAAACTGTAATAATTCAAAAACCTGATGTATCCTACATAGCCCAGACTTTTAACAAATTTAACAGGAAACTATACAATTTTATTGTTCCTTTCAATTTTTAATTTTTCCCTTTTCATTTAATTTATTTTAATAAATTTAATTCAATAAATTAAAACTGATATTCCCCTAAATAATTTTACTTAATAATATAGTCTAAGTATAAATACGTTTAAAAGACGACTAAGGTGTTTTTGAAGATTAAGGAATCCTTAGTCGTGATTTTTATTAAATATTTTTCATTTTTTTTATTTTTTGTTTACTTTTACATGTTTATAATAACGACTGCTGTAGTTTTAGTATATGGATGCATTTAGTATATCCCTTAAGTACATGAATGGATTATTCATATATTAGTTTGTGTACTACTCATTTCAAAGACGTTTAAATTTGTTTAAATTTTACACTTTAAATGAATTG